AAATCACATGTATCACTATGAATTAACTTCAGAGGTTCAATACTTCTTTCAATATTATGAAATGATGTTCTAGTTAATTTTGATTCAACAAATGTCTCACATTTATGACGTGCATCAATATTGAATTTAGGCAACAATTTTAAATTCATTAATTTATGCAAAGTATCAAAATTAATATGTCTTAATCTACTATGTCATACATTGGAAGACTCAAACATATAAGCAGAAGATGTGTTTTTATTGTTAAAATCAAATACAATTGTCATTACATTCATCTTAAGGAGCCCATCGCTCATATATCCATTGACTCCATAAATCCCACTCTTGATGAGTACAAATTTGTTAGATTCAAAAAATCAACCTAAAACTCTTCTTATTCAACAATGATCTAGAAAAAAGATTCTTTCAAATTTTTAGAACATGTAACACATCATTGAGAGTAATTTCTTTTCCAGAAGTCATCTTCAATATAACCTTTCCTTTGTCTTCAACTTTGGAAGTAGAGGAATTTCCCATGAATAGTTATTCTCTATCATTAATTATTTCATATGAAGAGAACATCTTCTTATCCGAACATATGTGTCTAGTGGCTTCAGTATCCATCCACCATTCCTTGGTATTTTTCATCAAGATCACTTTGGATACTACAATAGAAAAACTCATGTTATAAACATTTTTTAAATTTTTTCTACCTCGGTTATATTGGCTTGTGCAACCTTCCTGTTGTGGTTCTCTTGTATTTTACGATTTTGACAATCCTTTGTACAATGTCCCAGTTTATTAAACACCAAGTTGTTGCCTTTGAACCTTTTGAATCACCACCTTGGCCCCTTGTTGGCTAACATACTTCTTTTTTTTGTTGATTTTAAGTCTCTATTCAATCACATGTGTCTTTGACTCCATGGAATGATTACCAACTTTCTTGTAAGAGACTCTATTGTCCTCCTCAGTCCTCAATCTCATGATCAAGTCTTCAAGTGTCATTTCTTTGCGTTTGTACTTTAAATAATTTTTGAAGTCCTTCCAATTTGGCGGTAGTTTCTCAATAATTGCAACCACTTAAAAAAATTCACTAAGCACCATCTCTTCGACATGAATCTCATGTAGGATCACTTGAAGATCTTGAACTTTACTTATGATAGTCTTGAAATCCACCATTTTGTAGTTAAGGAATCTGCCCACCATTTTGAATGTTACATATATGAATGCTTGAGTTATACAAATGTGTGTTACCATCATATGCACCATTGGGTTTGGTCCAATGGTACTCCTTGTCATTTAAAAACTTTGTCTTTTGAGATCAAGGGTTCAAGTCCTCCTCTTCCTTTCCTCTCCAAAAAAAAAAAATACACTATTGGGTTGAGAGGCGTACTTCTTAGAAGATATACCCCATTGGGCTTTGGCCCACCCTTTTGTGAGAAAACATTTTCAGGTACAGTGCATGCTTCTGCGGATGGCCAGAATACATGCCCAGCTTGATGATAGAGTTGAAATCCGAGCTCCTATTTTGATGTATAGATACTTAGTCCCAATTGTAATTACTTAGATAGCCTTATATTTTTGGAAGTCCCAATTGTAATTACTTAGATAGCCTTGTATTTTTGAAATTATATAACACATGTATATTCTTCGCACAAAGGAGACTCCGCCGAAATTTTGTTGGAATTGATCCAACGGGACTAAGGCTTTAAGTAAATTAATGAGGCTTAACGTGTAATAAGGACCCCGGGAATTGGGGCTTCAAGCATACACACAACATACATTCAATGAGCAAAGCAATAGAGAAAGATAGGTACTTGATAAAGATAATTGTATTCAGAGTACTAAGAGGGTTGTTGTTTTTGTGTTGGTGGTGGCCATTGTGTTTATGGCCACATCTTCTCTGTTCTTCTTTTGCCCACTGTACGAATGAACTTCCCCGTGCTGCCAATGGAGTCACATATACTAATATCCTCATGACTTCCCTCTTAAGGATAATGTTGGAAGGTGGACTCCGCAGGGATGATGGTTGTCCCAGTTCCATATGCAATATCTTGAACGACTTTATTGTTCTAGCTATATCTGCCTTCTCGTTGGCATTTTGGTTAGGGTATATGTTGGGTCGTGTTGCCAGGTTTATGTGTACGTAAACTAGCAAACAATGATCTAAGTATTTTTACCGTAAGATGAAGTCGATCGTTTCCGTCTATGTTTTGTTGTGTTTTTTGTTTGGTGGAAGTTGTGGATTCTATGCTTTGGCATAAAATAATGTCGATCATATGTATCTTGTCTGTGTTTTATTGTGTTTGTTGTCCGGTGGAAGTTATGAATTCTATGCTTTGGCACAAAATAGTTTCCATCTATGTGTGTTGTGTTTTTCATGCGAATAAAAGTTGTGGATTTATGTCCTATTGCTTTTTTTTTTTCCCTCCGCCTCTCTTAAACAAAAGTGTAATGCATGTACGATGATAATTGCCCTATCAATGCATTTGAAAAATAAAAGTAGCAAACATTTTTTACAAACTGAATTAAAAAATAAAGAATTTTTAAAATTCGATCCAATCCTAATTTCCTCTCATTTTTCTTCTTAGTTGACAATGATAATTCAAGACTTACTGTTCAATTGAACATTTATTACTTTTTTGTTGGCTGGCTTCATACATCACTTGTGTACATGGGTTGTTCTCTATAACAATATCCCTATAAAAGTTATTAGAATTAAATTTTTCATGAAAATAATGTTAATATTACAATTATAATTATAATTTATTAATGAGTCTAAAGATGCCCCCTCTACAAATGATTTCTGTATCTGCCCCTGACTAAACTTGTGTGAATATTGTCTCAGATTTTGTTGTAAAAAATGGCGAACAAATGGGATACTTCCATTCAAACAGAGGGCTATGATAAGGTGATCCACTATAGCCTTATCTTTTCTTCTTGTGTTCGGAAGGACTCTCATCATTGCTAAAAATGACAGAAGCAAACGGTGCAGTAAAGGGATTATCTGCTGGTCCTGGTGGTCCAATTTTCTATCATTTACTCTTTGTCGATGACAGTCTTCAATTTGCACAAGCAGACGAACAAAACACTTTGGCTATTAAGGATGAGAGGGCTTCGGGACAAAAGATTAACTTGTCAAAATCTGCTGTTGTATTTACTAGAAATGTTGGTCGAGATGAGAAGTTTCCTCTCCTTCATATGCTTCAAGTCCATGAGGTTTCCAATCATGAAAAGTATTTGGCTCTTCCCTCAGTAATCGGTCAAAAAAGGAAATTTTTCATTCTATTTAACAAAAGGTATGGTCCAAAGTGCAAGGATGTAAAGAGAAATTATTTTCTGTTGCAAGGAAAGAACTTCTTATTAAAGTTGTGGGACAAGTAATACCCACTTATGTCAAAGGTTCATTGGATGGCTTGGAATAAGATTTGTCTTGCAAAATCCCAATGAGGTTTAGGATTCCGAGAGTTAGAAGTCTTTAATTTGGCAATGTTGGCTAAGCAATTCGGGAGATGAGTACAACACCCTGAGTCGATGCTTTTCAAAGTTTTAAAGGCTAAGCATTTTCCTACTTCAACTATTATGGAGGCACAGCTAGGGTCATATCCTGCGCTCACTTGGCGTAGCATCTTGGCTTCCACTTCAAGACAAGTAATGGATGCAGGAATGCAATGAAGAATTGGAAATGGGCAAAGTGTTACAGTTGAGCTGGATACCCAGACCGCATACTTTCAAAGTTACAAGTTCAATATCGTGCATGGATGACGAAAGACTGGTAAGTTCTCTGATCATGAGCAGAGTGGTTGGAATTTGGACCTTCTAAATGAGCTTTTTCATCACTTTAAGAGTTGCACAAATTGTTGTTATCCCCGTCTGCGCTCAAATAACCAATGATCGATTTGTTTTTTTTTTTTTGTTAGTAAAAAGTTAAGTACATGGAAAAGGAGAGTAAGTAAATTAAATTAACACAAGCTAAAAACAATCTAACTAAATAGGATTCTCCTTGATCACTAGTTCATTTACTAGGTTTGGAAGCTGGGGATCAAGGAGGTCTCCTTCGTGCTTGACTGCAAGTCCTCCATCTTGCGAGCTGGTGAGCTGTTTCATTTGACTCCCAGTAAAAAGTGCATACCACTTACGGGTGTCCATGGCCTGGGGCTAGGCCCCTGATATTTTTTCCAGGCGTAGGATCAAAATGGACAAAAAAAAAAAAATAAATAATTTTATTTGAGATGAATTATTTAGTATTTAAATAATGAATAATATCCTAGATTGCTCAACTTAGTATTTAAATAAATAACTCTTTTTTTAAAGGAATATCCCACCTAATTTTCAATTGTCAATTTTTTTTAAGAAAATTTGGAGGCCGGACTCCTTTGTGGACTTACTTGGTGAGACGCCCATCAAGGAGACTTGTTTAATATTAACTCAATTTTGATCTTCATTGTCTAAAATATCCTTAATAATTATGTTTAATTAAAAAAAATTTGGAAAAAGTTAATTGCATTGGAGGTCTCCAAAGCATAGAGCTTGTCTCATTTTGGTCCTCAATTTTTCAATTGCATCATTTTGATCCCTGAACTATTGAATATATTTTTATATTGTCTCTCAAGCAGACTATATCCAGATTGTTAACAATTTTTTTATCATAAACTTGTCACGTGATACTTAAAAATAGATAAAAAAATAATTTGGATAACTTGGCGGTGCTATCTTACCACATCAAAGATAACTGTTCAGAGATTGGATTTTGGGAGACCAAATCAACGGCTATGTCAGTTGCTTTAGTAGCTTGTGTGTGTCTTGGATTCGTAGGAGTGGAAATGAGGTAGCTAATTGTTTAGCAAACATGGCATCAAATAATAGGGATTCAAGTATACGAAGGGAGAATTTTACATTAACTACAATTATAACAAGGTTACAGATTAAAAAAAAAAGGGATGAAAAAGAAACCACATAGCAATATCATTGTTTCGTCTGAGAGATTTAATTACAGCACAGGTATCTCTCCTTCGTTATGATCATGGCTGGGGACCACGTTTACATCGATTGTCGTACGTACATGGTCTACTGTATTGGCTGATCTGAACTATGCAATTGCCATACCGATCTGTATCACATACAGCTGATCCAGGGTTGAGAGATTTGACACTGAGTTTGTTGGTGGTTTGAAGAATCCTTCTGCTCACTTCAGACTCCATTAGGAACTCTTGGTCGTCTTCTTCAATGCAGTCTGTGATGGTTCCATTGCACCAAGAGCTTCCTTTTTTGATCTCTGAACAATCAGCTGTTTGAGTATTTGTGCTGAGCACAATAAGTACAACAGCTATGGAGATGAAAAGGCACATCCTCTTGGGTTCCATTCTTATCTCTCTCACTTTTTTTGGGTAGTTTTGCTAAATTTATGTGCTTGGCTGGTCACCAATGAGCCTTATATAGAGTACACAGCTCATGACTTTTGGGGTCATGGACTACACAACAATAGGCAGTTGGGCAATTATGGACCCGATTTGGATGAAGACAAAACTAGAATAGGCAGTTGGGCAATTCCAAGCTTCCCGTGTTGTCTACCTAAGATCACATTGCAATTTTATATATAGCAAAAAATCTCTGTCATGTGTGCACCGACGTTTTCTATTTGCACCAAAACTATTAGATAAATATTTATGTTCCACTATTCACTAATAAGTTAAATTTTAAGAATAAATGATTGTTTAACATGATATCAAAGTTTAAAAATCATGAGTTCGAATCCCACTAGGCCCTTACAAAAAAAATAAAAAATAAAAACAATCATGTAGATGAACCGCCCAAAGAGAGTGAATTGTACTTTGTATTTTGAATGATTTTAAGATTCTTATTTTGTAATATTAAATATTAAAATTTTTGCATTAAACCCTTAATGTATTAAAAATATTACAATGTAACATATCTGTTAGATTTTTACTAGTTTTTTCCATTAGTGTTCATAGGTTTGTTTTAAATTGAAAAAAAAATAGAAGTTAACAAAAAGATTACATTGTAATATTTTTAATAAATTGAGGCTGCAATGAAGAAAATTTAATTTTTGAAGGTACAAAGTAAAAATCTTAAAATCTTATAAAATACAAAGTGTAAAAAGTCCAAATTACTATGTTCAATCCTAACGTCTAGAATCGATCTTAAATATTTTAAAATCAATTTTAATATATTAAGATCAATCCTAATGTGTATTTTAACCCCCAAAACATGATAATATTGTACCTCCTTCGCTACAAATTCTAAAGATAGTGCTGATACAACTTCCAAAGCAACAAACCAACTTCCAAACATCCTGTGATAATTGTAATAGTAGAAATGTTATTGAGACTTAATTTACTAATATAATTTGTTACCTTAATTTTTTGTGACATTTGAATTCACTGTAACTCTTATTAAATATTAGAACTTGGTGTTGATCTGATAATTTCTATGAAATCACATTATTATATCAATAAATTATATTAAATGTTTAGGTTCAAATAATATTACTTTTATAACATGACAACAATTTAAAGTCTTGTCCTCCCACAATTTACATGATTTGGGAGATGACATCATGATGAAAGTTTAGCTCAACTACTTAACTACAAGAAACAATAAGAGACGACAATGCACATAACTCCCATTGTTATAGAGTCATGGACTACACAATAATAGGCAGTTGGGCAATTATGATCCCTATTTTGATGAAGGTCAAAACTATAATAGGCAGTTGGGCAATTCTAAGCTTCCCGTGTTGTCTACCTAAGATCTAGGGGTTTTTATTTTACTTTATCGATAAAAAATATAGTTTTTCTATTTGCAGCATAAACTATTAGATAAATATTTTTGTTTCACTATTCCCTAATAGTTTAAATTTTTAGAATAAATAATTTTTTAACATGATATCAAAATTTAAAAATTTTGAGTTCGAATCTCACTAGGCCCCTACAAAAAAAAAAAATAATAGATAAAAACAATCATGCAGATGAACCGCTCAAAAAGAGTGAATTGTACTTTGTACTCTGAACGATTTTAAGATTTTTATTTTGTAATATTAAAAATTAAAATTTTTATATTACACCCTCAATGTATTAAAAATATTACAATGTAACCCTTATGTTAGATTTTTACCAGTTTTTTTCATCAGTATTAATAAGTTTGCTTTTGACTGAAAAAAATATAGAAGTTAACAGAAAGATTACATTGTAATATTTTTATAAATTGAGGGTATAATACGAAAAATTTAATCTTTGAAAATACAAAATAAAAAATTTAAAATCTTATAGAGTACAAAGTATAAAAAGTCCAAATTACTATGATCAATCCCAACGTCTAGAATCGATCTTATATATTTTAAAATCAATTTTTAATATATTAAGATCAATCCTAATATGTATTTTAACCCCAAAAACATGATAATTTCAATATTGTACCTCCGCTACAAATTCTAAAGATAATGCTGTTACAACTTCCAAAGCAACAAACCAACTTCAAAACATCCGGTGATAATTGTAACAGACAACAATTTAAAGTCTTGTCCTCCTACAGTTTACATGATTTGAGAGATGACACCGTGAAGAAAGTGTAGATCTACCACTTAACGGCATGAAATAAAAAAAGACGGCTAATACAAAGAATTCTCATTATTATAGAGTTTGGAGAAAATTAGGTATATGTAATTTTGAACCTAATTGTAGAGAAATTAGTTTTACGACTCGAACCCTTAACAATAAGTTCATAGTGGAACAACGCTACACCAAAGTAGTCCAGCCCTTTTACTTAACTATGACAAATATGGTCCCAAAATAAGCATAGTCCTAGTCTACTTTCTATGAGCATATGAAGCCAGCACAAAAACAACTATGTAAAGATATTAATTGCCTAATTGGTCCACACATTTTCATTTTTAAGACAATTGAAAGAAGAAACTTCAAGAACACACGCATGAAAGAAAAAAAAAATGAAAGAGTTGGGTTGCGAAGCCATCTTGAACTTTCTCAAAACGATTTTGTGTCCTTATTAATAAATACAAAGAGAAAACATCAACCATAATTGAAAATATTAAGTGCCCACCAAGCATCAACGGCAAGTACATGTTTGTACAACATTGCATCATGCTTTTTCCTAGTTTAGTGTTTCCAATTGAAACCTTATATTCCCTTTTCTAGATCAAAAATTCAACAAGATATCAATATATCACATTATATCTAAAACCAAAAGCATGAGGCAAGTCTTGTGCTAATTCAACATTTTTGTGAATGCACTCCTATATATGTATGTATTTAATATTATAAATCTACCAAACACTACTTGTAGAAATAAAAAATATTTTCAATGACAATATTGTAATGAATTAGACATAGAAATATCTATCTATATAATAAAGTACAATACAATTCAAATCTCAAAAGATAAATAAAATGAATTTGGTTATTCGCGGTTGAGATCTCTTTAAATTTTATTTTAAAGTCAATGTGATGGTTAATATTAACACTCTAAATTTAATAGGGACAATAGGGCCCTAAAGGTGTGTTTAAAATAATTTTTTAAAAGTGTTTTTAAGAATTATAATTTATTGTAAATACTTTTTCTAAAAAAAATAGTATTTGAAACCACCACTATCACCACCACCCCCATTGTCCCACCACCATCACCACCATCCTACCACCATTACCACTACCACCACCACTGCCACCTCACCCCCACCATCAAACTACCCCCCACCACCACTATCATCACTACCACTACCACCTCCATTGTCGCCATTCCACCACCACCATCGTTGTTGTCACCACCAATGTCGCCACCCCACCACCACCTCCCTACCCATCGCCTCACTACCATCATCACCAACCCCACCACCCTTTGACACCACCATACCACTCCCCCACTACCCCACCACCACCTTTGTCATAACAACCCCGACCCCCACCACTGCCCTTAACATCACCATCGTCGCCACTATCACTCTTGCCACCTCACCACCACCACCACTGCTACCGCCCAACCACCACCATCCCCACTGCAACCATCACCACCTCCACTGTCACCTCCACCCCCACAACCATCACCATTACCACTACCAACGTCACTATCGGCCACCATCACTAACATCGCTCACTTCCATTATAATTGGTGCTTAAATTTTTTTTTTTTCTCCTCTAAATTTGTGATTTGATTTTAAATGTGAATACAAATATATTTATTGTTGATTATTTTTTTTATTAGTTTGTGCCTTTGGGCACAGGCAATAATTAGTACTATTATAAAATGTCAATAAAAGTAAAAAAGTTTTAGTTGAATAAATAACCTTAATAAAATCACTAATGCCACTTACATCCTACCCTCTCATCTCTCACCTAAGTGAACACCAGACTCCTAAGCTTCCTCTCATATTAATTTCAAATTAAATAGATACAAGTAACTAAATATACAATTACTTTCTATTTTGTCCACCCTTTTCACCTTCGTTTGAGAGTTACCGTCACGTTGTGACTCTAAGGATTTTGAGTATAAAAGTTTTAACCAACAATCCTTTTAGGAGTCACAACATAGCTGTAAACCATCACCTCATGACATATGAGTGGGTATACTAACCATGTGGCAATCGGTGAACATTTAAAAGGGCTTTAATATATCACATTTCAGACTCCATCATATAAAGAGTGAAAGTTCAAGTGAAAGTTCAAGGGGTATCTACATGCTTAGAATTTGGATAAACAACATAGGGCTGTTGAGTGGACGATGAAATAGAACATCTGTTCCTACACCTTTGGTTTCAAGGTCCTTCTCCTTCATGTCCAACCTTCTCACGCAGATGGGCATGTGATTAGTTTTAAGTAATTCACGCCTATAACTGATAATTTTTGTAATGTGCGTTGATGGATGTTATATTTTTTTTTTTGGGTTTTTCTAAGTGCTAGCACATGTTGTGTTGAAGATTGACGTTTTTAAATTCCCTTGGTTCATGTTTTAACATTTGGCACTTATAAATTAAAGCAATTGCTCCAAGTTTGTTCTTATTTATGTTGTAATATGATGATTATTTAAACCTTTTATTTTAGGTTTCATCTTTTTCATTTATGTTGCTCCAAGATTTCTTAATGACGGGAATTAGGAGACTTAGGCCATGTCGCAAGAGCAAGCCGTTAATTACCACATGTAATGTGTAAACAAGAAGCATCAAACTGTTGGCAAGGTTTGTGATACATTTTGGTTGATTACTGAGGTTGTGGATTTTAACAAACTATACTTTTAAGATGGAATTGCTGTTAAATAGGAGACTCAACTTATAATAATATGTCAAGAACGGTTTACTACCTAACAAAGAATGTGTGTGGCAAGTCCCAACTATTTCCTT